TAGCAAAAACTTCAGGTATGCCTATGATTAAAAATTATACTGCTTTACCTACATCTAGATAGAGCTGGAATTAGGGCCTAACAGCTTTTGTAAACAATGACTTCTCTTGATGATTTCTTGAAATTCAAGGATCGCTCACGCAAACCAACATCCTCATTGGGTAGGGAAAGACTTTCCCTATTCGATTGTAATGTTGGTCTGCGTGGGCGTGCCTTTTAATTCCTAGAAATTATCGATAGAAGTCATTGTTTACATACATGCATACTTTTTGAGATATTTGAGTTTTTAGCACTTCTTGGAATCTTAATTGATTGATGAGTGTTTTAGTAGAATAATTTTATACCTTATTACGTTGTTTTTTTTTAACGGTGCTGGGGGTGTAGTGGTAAGCGTGATTACCTCTCACCCCAGCAGCAGGCCTGGGTTCAATCCCAGTCGGCGCCGCCGGGATGTTCTGAGGCATAACATCTCTGATCACGCCTTCCTTCGGATGGGAAGTAAAGCCGTTGGTCCCCGGTTCATGAGTTGATGGGTCCAGGTGTGGGAGCTGCCTTCCTGGCACGTCGGTAGCATTGGTGCTCAGCACGGAAAACAAGATCGACGGAAAAAAACAAACCAAAGGAAAAAAAAAAAACGTTGTTTTTTTTCCTTTTAATTCTACTACTTTTGTATCACTTTCACTTTTGCTAATTTTCTTTCATTTGTTACACATCTTATCTTAAAAAAAAAAAAAAAAAAAAAAGAAAAAAAAAAACTACAACAGATAAGTATTTTGTTTACTTTACTTCAAACTTGATCAGTGGCTAGTCATAGACTAAGTACTGTTATAGTTTATCAAAAAAAGTGAGCGATAAAGTAAACAGTAAAAGTGAATTAATGAATTGAAAGTGATACAATAGTGTAGTAGAATTAAAAGGAAAAAAAAAAGACAACGCAATGAGGTATTCTTTTTGGACATTTTATTCAAAATAAATGTAAAAAATAAAACATATATTTTTTCCCAGAAAGACTGTTTTTTATTCTACAACTTTGTCTCAGACGTCATTTCGATCAGAAGTGACGTTTTAGTGCTAAAATTTATTGAAAACTTACAAAGACGCACTTTTGAAAAAAAAAACGCATTCAAAATGGCCGAGTTTTTGTAAAAAATGTGAAGGATTACCCATACCAATTATGCAAAGCTTTATGATAATCGGAGATTGTCAAGTTTTTCCGATTCGTCTTGGCGTGGAACTTTAATTCAGCGTACCGTTTGTCAAAATGAACTCTGTTGCAAATCCAACCCTTTATCTAAAATCCCAGGTGTTGATCAACCTGACATAAAAGTTAAAATACCAAAGAATAATACCGGAAATCCCCTTCAAAATAACCAAAAGAAATACTTCTGTGGTATCGTTTGAGTATTGCGGTTGCCTATTTTGGAATTGGAATGGTATTGTGGGAACTTGTATTTTACCTCTTATATCAGGTTAATCCATACCAATTTAAGGTATCGATATAATCGTTCCTGCTCGAGTGAAACTTAAATAAACTCATATTTTGCGTAGGTTTATGATTATCATTAACAATTGGTTTATGATTAATCAACAACAATAAGACTGAGTTACTAAACAGAGGTTTTTTTCTTATTGCACCGTTTGTTTGACGTGCAACGGGGAAAGCAAGCGGAAATCGTGGAATTAGTTGACTTTCATTTACATTTTTTGGATATTTAAAAATAATGTTTAGCCCTCGATACTCTACCTACTTTAATTTACTAGTGAATGAATCCAAATATTTTTGTTTTCACGATTTATCGTTATATTTATCGCAAAATGTAAGTTTTTCCTAGTCTTTGATGAATTGAATGAGTTTGTTTAAGCTTCAACAGCGTTTTGTAGCATTAATTACTGAAAAGATTCGCAAAGCTGCATGTGCCTAGCATGTTGAACCCAAAATCGTCCAAACTGTCGATGAAAACAATTAGCAGCCTTAACAATTTTACCCTCTTTTTCCCGGAAGATGGAATCATTTACAAAGCGTCCCTTAGGTTAGGTTGTAAAAGTGCTTCAGTATTATCACGGGTAATGGCACACGGTTCCTAACGGAGGGCAGGTAAATTCAGTCTTTGTGCTTACGACCGTGAAAAAAAATATATAATAAGATTAGATTTTACCATTTATGTGTTTGCTTCCATCACCAGCAGAGGGGTATTCCTCTAACTTAGCGTGGATTGTGGGTCATCCGGGGGCGTGTGGATTTTCCACTTTCCAAGGGGTGGTAGGTTGATAAAAAGGTCGTAAAGTGATAAAAAAAAACTGCCAGTTGTTACTTAGTATTATTTGGACGGTTTTCTTCGCCCTGCTTCAAGTTGATGGATGGAACGTAAAATGGTCCGAATAATGGACAGAGTTTGGTTGAATAACGAAACAGATTTGCCATTTGCGGACACATTACCGAACATCGGTCGGAGGGCAGGGCCCTCGAAGGATCCCTTCGGTGAGTGCATTTTAAGGATGGCGTACGGTTTGATTTTATTTATTTTTCAACGCAGATGAATGGTATTACCGGAGTGTCATATTTCATCTGCAGATGGCAGGCATACATACATATTTCGATTTAATTGATCATCATACATAAAATCATCGGTCGATTATCTTTCAAAACATTCCATCGCCATTGAATGGAGTGTGTTTGCTATTCCGCTGAACAATTTGTAAAAGAGGGTCCACTTAGCGCTTCAAGATATCCGGCATCCGATCGGAACTCACCCTGTTTTATCTGCTGAGCTATAGGGAACAATAAAGGTCAGTTATTTTTAGCCCGTTGTCATCACCCGGTAGGCATGCGGCTCGTTTCACATTCTCCTAGATCCCCATAAAGTACCAGCGCGCCACAGTGCCCAACGCGGCTCAGTGGAAGCTATAGGTCAGGTACTAACGGGCGACACTCACCTGGTGGAAATACGACCGGCAGCACTTTACCGTTTTATCTCGGTCGGTCACAAAACGTAAAACAAAAGGGATGGTCACAAACCGATGAGGGTCCGATTCAATTATCGTTCGGGCGCAACCGAAAAAACAAGGAGACGCGGTGCGCGAAATGAATGGCCATCAAATTCAGTTAGAGTGGGATTATGTGGAGCCCAAATTTATGGATTTGACGTTTTTCGATTCTAGAACCCAATATGAACTGAAGGATCGAGTTTTACCTCTGGTGGAGAATTCATGGCAGATGAAAAGAATTCAGTGTGCGTGGGGGTCGTGCAAACATGACATAGCATTCTAGGCGGAAATGAGGTCTGCATGAGCTACGACTAGCTGTGTATAAGTATAGGAAAATTCACTACCAGGGGTGTGGGGGTCTGAAATTGTTGGAAAACTTGCTACGCCATTTTAGTATGCCCTTTGGGAATTGGGAAATAGCAATTCTTCCAATGATAGAGGGAAAAACAACGGACGAACGGTGCTGTTTTTCTCTTCTTTAAGGGAAGAAAATCATTTGTTTTGGTTGTACTGTGTTTCCAAGTAATAATCCAAGTCGATTTTGTCTGCGAAACATGTGTTAATTAGTGGTCTTATTGCACCAAAGCCTACAGATGTTTATTTATGGGAAAGATTTAGAATTACGATTACAGTAAGGTGGGGCAAGATGAGTCATCTACTTGATTTATTTATTTCTTTGATTGTCAACATCAAAAGTCTCAATGTAGCCCCAATGCTGGTTTGTAAAAGCAAACCATCATTGGGGTTGCATTGAACCTGTTGAGTTTGACAAACAAATCAATTAATAAATATACTAGCTGACTCATCTTGCCCCGTGACCCATCTTGTCCCATCTTACACTATGATAAATAATTGAAAGATAAAATTCTCATGTAGCCCCTCCTGTAAACATCGGATTATTACTGTATATGTTTAATTGAATTGGTAATGGTATTTAAATTGGAAAATTATTCGAAGTAAGGCTTGTACTCTGCCCCGTAACGTGGGTAGATCACCTTTTCGTGGTACGTTACGGGATGTAAGATCTACCACCGATTCCTAGTCCTGACTACTTCAAACTAGGGGAACAGGATTTTTCAGTAATCCAAGGAACACATCTTAGTCCTTGTTACTTTTTATGCCTTGTTGATAGTGACAAGACTCGGCTTTGTCTGCCGAGTCATCATCTTGAAACAAGGAAAAAAAATGAATTAGTTGTCTTCATCTATGTGATTCTTATCTTCTATTCGTTGTTCCCTAGTTTGAAGTGGTTAAGACTAGGGTTCTGATGCATGGTCATTATCGGTGTCATACCTTAATTTTGTTGCTAAGGAATCCAATTTTGATTGACAAAGGGGCGCGCCTTTGGAGGGTGTTTCAACACTCCGAAAGGTATAAATAGCGGGACCTTTCAATTAGAGTCGAATCCTTGCGATAAATGCAAGAGTGGCAACTGTAAAAAAATCGAATACTTCATCATTTCTCAAAAGTGATGGAGTAATATGACATGCACTAAACTAAAGACACGGGATATACTACAATATATCAATTTACTGGTCACAGTAGTGTTTGGTCCCGAACAGAGGAAAAAAAAAGGCTTGTACTCGAAAAAAAAATGCACCATTTTTTATCAGTGTGTAACTTTTTTATCCGTGGGTACAAATTGATGAAAATCTGGGTATAACTAGTTTACATGTGCAAAATTTCATAACAATCGGTTCAGTGGTTATTGAGATGTCATCGAAACAAGAAGAAAATCGCCGGAGAATTTTGCGCGCCGTCATTGAAAATCCGGCTGCGACCATGAGATGGATCGGAAGACAACTGGGAATCACCCATACAACTGTGTCTCGGGTGGTAAAATCGTTTAAGGAGTCCCAGACGACCGAGCGGCGGGCTGGAAGTGGAAGAAAATCGAAAACAGCTGACCCTGTGAAGGCCCGGAAGGTGTTGGATTATTTCAAGCGAAATCCGAACCTTTCGATTCGCGACGCGGCTCTGAAAGCAAAGTGTTCCGCCTGGTTCGTTCAGCAAACCATGAAACGAGCTGGGCTTCGTGTATTCAAGGTCCGGAAGGCACCGAACCGGCGTGATCAACAAAACACAGCGGCCAAATCCGGCGCAAGGAAGCTGTATCGAGAGTGGTTAACGAAACCGATGTGTGTGGTTATGGATGACGAAACCTACATCAAGGCAGACGCAAAGCAGATACCGGGGCTGGAGTTGTACGTTGCGAAATCACGGTTTGATGTTCCGGAAGACATAAGGAATAAGTAAGTGGACAAATTCGCCAAAAAAATACTTGCTCTGGCAAGCCATATGCCAATACGGTAAACTGAGTAAACCGTACATCACAATGGGTACCATCAACAGCGAAATTTACCGCACCGAGTGCCTCCAGGAGCGTCTGTTGCCCTTCCTGCGGTCCCACGGAGGCGAGACATTATTTTGGCAGGACATGGCATCATGCCATTACGCACGATCGACGTTGGATTGATACAGAGACAATAACGTTGTTTTTGTACCAAAAACCGCCAACGTCCCCAAACTCACCAGAGATTCGTCTGGTGGAAAGATTTTGGACCATAATGAAGGCCAAAGTTCGAAAATCGTCCAAGGTGTTTAAGAACGAGCTGGAGTTGAAGAAAGAATGGATGAAAGTGACCAAAAAGGTCGGCTCCACCATTGCACAAAATGTAATGAGGGGTCTTAAGGGAAAGGTGCGGGCTTTCAGCGATGGAAAAGGAAATTGAATAAAGTAGTTATGCCGAAACATAATCCATGTATTAGTTCATATCCTGAAAGTTTCAAGAAAATCCGACTTAAAATAAATTTTTGGCGAACACTTGTGTCTGGTGCATTTTTTTTTCGAGTACAGGCCTTAGTTAACTTCTGTGGAAATAGGAAGGATTCTGTTGCATTCTTAACATTACCTTTCGTAGCCATAATAAGGGCCATCCTATGCTTATGGACTAATAAGTTTATAAAACGGACACCAAAAAAAGCCCGTAGCTGTTTCATTTTACGTTGTTTATGTAAGATAAGTGAAGACTATGAGCCAAACAATATCATGCATCGCGTCAAACTCATAACTGTTTAATGAACGCTCTAAGTAAGTCTTAAAAAAAGCATTAAAAACCAGTCATATCGAGCTTACTCTCTTATTTGTTGCATATGTGTTTATTTAATGATAACATTCAAATCTGCTAGAGAATGTCGTAAAATTACAAGACAAGAAAGACTTAAATTATTAAAAATTAATTGTTAGTTTTCTAAAGTTATAAACACGGGACGACAAATGACATACAAAATGTTAAAAAAAAACGTATCATATATGACTTGTATGTATACTTTGTTGTACAAAATTAATGTATTTTTAAGCTGGCATGTATCATCATTCCCAAGTAACATTTCAAGTTTTATAGTGGTTTTAAAGCATGCTACAAGTCTAAATCATGGTCAGAACCCTCACAAAACCAAAATTGTTACTTGGGTTGAGCATTAAAAAATAAACATGATTTGGCTTGGTACAAGTTTGAAATTAACCCAGGTGTTCAAGCTGTATCGATATGAAAACGAAAAATGTTGTTAATTTTAGAGAAAATATGATTTAAAATATTTAAAAAATTACGTGCTACAGTGATGTTTTGATTTTTTCACGGTCAAAAAAAAAATCGTGTGATTTATTTCAAACGTGGTATATTTGAAACCCATCGAATTTAACATTTAAATAACTATCATTCTTTATATAATTATAAGGCCAAATTTGTTTTTGAAACAGGTTTTTGTTCATTTGTTCTTAAAGCAAAACATAACAAAATTATTGCTGGTGTAAATTTTTCCAGATAATTTCATTAAATTTTTCATAAATCGAAGACATTTTATCAAGATAACTGGTAGCACTGCCAGTATTTGAAAGACAAGTGAAATAGGGTTGCACTTGAGCCAAGGTTAAAACAGAGAGCTGAAAATGATAAAATTCGGAAACCCCTCTTTTGAGGCTAGCTTCTTTGCTATCAAAATTCGGAGCTTTGACGTTTTAGCGATAGATGTTGAAATTTGGTCTTTTTTTGTCATTATCAGGGGAAAGCAGGGTAAAATCATCAATTACTTCATTCACAGAGCCTTCCGGTAGCCGAGACCACTTCCATTCGATTCTCCAGAGATTTTGATATCAGATTAGCCCCATTTCATCGATCGTACATTCCTTCCGAGCCAAGATATCCGTGAATAATTCAATAAAATAGGGGCAAGCAGGGTAAAATCAGTAGTCATACATTCATTCACAGAGCCTTGAGGCAACCGAAACTACTTTTATTCGATGCTTCAGAAATTTTTACATAAGATCAATCTCATTTTATCGATCGTACATCCCTCCCAGCCAACATATCCATGAATAATTCAATAGAATAGGGAGAAGCAGGGTAAACTCAGTCATAACTTCATTCACAGAGGTTTGCAGCAACCGATACTACTTTTAATTGATTTTCCAGAGATTTTTAACATATGATTAGTCCAATTTTATTGATCTTACATGTATAATAATCAAAAATAACTCAAAATCACTTATTTGATGTTTTTCATACGTGTCCAATAGAAATGCAATCACATCTTCATAAATATTGTTTATTTAAAGTTTATTTACTTTACACGATAGGTAGCATGAAATATCTTTATATTTGGCACAACATATATGAATACAAATTTGTACACGCTTTGGTAGAGAGGTTCTACCATAAGAGAGGAGTGGATTCGTAACAAACTCCTTTGGCAATCAATGCCTAGGTGGATTCTAGCAACGCTTTTTATTATGCTTGACCGTCTCTAGGCTTTGGCCACTTCTTTCAATTGACAACTGTGGAAAATCTCAAAGCACATTGAGTTGAGGGATTGAACAAAGTTCCCGTAAAGCGGGACCGAAATCTGCATATCACAAAAAATAATCGTAATCCTTACACTTCAAACAAAATACATATACTTTACATGACGTAATAGCCTGATATAGAGAAATAGACACGCAATAAAGAAGAATATCGATGTCACCGATGAAAAGGTAACGGATTGCAATACGGATTTCGTAACGAGCCATGAACTTGAAACGTTTGTAAATGCGAACGGTTTTAATCACTGGAAAATGATAAATTTACAACTGCTAAAGCCTTCTTGACGTTTGACATTTGATACAAGTACCATCGTACCAGTACCATGCACTATACACCTCATAACAGACAACTTTGAACTATTCGCTTCCCGAGCAGGAGAAAATAACTTATACCAAATTCAGGTATGAAAATAGCATAACTGGCATTGACGAGCCTTACATAACCCGAGTAAAGGTAAATAGCAATTTTTCAATAAATCAACTCAATAATATAGCAGAAGCTTATTTTGCTATTAAAATGAAATATTGATAGCTCAACAGTGTTGCAAAAAAATCCAATTATATATTTGAAAAGCATACAAAGCATTTCATCACGGAAAAAAATGCTCCCACAATCCATTTTAATACCAAATAATGATAATGCAATACCACATAGGTATTCTTTTGGTATCCAAATATCAATTTTTGATATTTTCAAAAAATTTGGATGTTATTTTTTGGTATTATTATTTGGTATTTTACCTCTTATGTCATGCTGGTCAATGCCAAAGTTTGGTATCAGGGCAGCATTAGGTATTAATTCGTCATTTTTTCCTTCTCGGGTAACGATTTATTTGATATTTTTCAAATTATTTTGATAACTGATTAATAGCAAAACAAGGTTTTATACCACAAGAATAGCAAAATATGGCATAACACCTAGTTAAGATATTCATATGTTATCGGTTATTTATCGGTTCTTGCTCGGGTTTGTACTAAATGCTCCACAAATCGGATAGCTCTTAAAAGTCATTAATTAAGGATGTCAAAATAAGCTTCCAAGCATTCTTGTGAAATGCACAGCGGAAGGAGTGTAAATGGAACTTTCCATTCTGCTCTCAAGTGCAATCACGGAACATAAACTAGAAAATCTTCCCAAACGACACATACCACTCCAATACCAATCGCTATTTATGTGCTCAAATGCTTCTCGGCAGATAGCAGTTAGAACTGGCTCTCATAAACCAATGCAAATGTTTACTATACATACTGAATATATCGAATGAAATGATAACTAGCCGCAGGACCATGCCCATCTACTGCAGCAGTTATTAAAATTGTTATTATTTATTTCCCATCTCTCCCACAAACAACATATGCAAGGAACCACAAGAATCTAGTGCTGAGAACCAGATGACTGTCATATCCCACACAGTTGCAATTTTCTATGTTCCCAACCGTTCGTTGTCACACATCATTCATGGATACAAAAAAAAAATACAAAATTCAACTGACAGTAAACACTGTTTGTCACATCACAAAAAGCAACCAACAGCTGTGCCTTAGAGATACCTACCATACAAACCAGGCCAGTAACATGACCGAAATCATATTGTCATCTCGACATTGTAGATACCTATGAATGAAGAAAGAGTGTTGTCTCGTTACTGGAGCTCCACACTTGTTGTCGCTGGGGCTCGTGCTGCCGTTTGTGTCGGATCCAGGATGAATCATTTTAAACTCGAATCAACTTTTTCTCGAGATAAGCATCTTTACGCTTCGGACAGTTCAATCAGCAGATTAGATCAACTTCATAGCCGGAACATGTGTTTTCAGCCTTGGGTAATATTTTTGTTCAGGATTATACTGATAACAATTTTCAGCGTGTTTTTTCAAGCTCTGTAGAAGATTGTTAAAGTTCATTCGAATTTTGTTATGTCTAAAAACTAGAAAGTTGAACAGTTTGATTCGAGGAATCAAAAACGTTCATATTAGAAAACTCTCAATGCGCCTACGTTTATTTTTATTTATTAATTTCATTATGGACGAGTGCACCGATGGATTTGAGTTCACTCACTCGAGAAAAAGTGACACAAGCTGCGGGCAATGTTTACTAATCATGAACACTAAATGTTCATGAATAATGAATAATGAACATTTAGTTTTCATGATTAGTAAACATTGCCCGCAGCTTGGGTCACTTTTTCTCGAGTGAGTGAACTCAAATTCATCGGTGCACTCGTCCATTGAATCCTTTCGAGGAGTTTATTTCCCTTGGATGAATTCTTTGCTGTCGTTTTCCTGTTGATATTTCCTTTTTGCGCGATCGTCGACACCGATACCATCGTGCCGGATCGGTTCGGGATGACACCCACACCATGATCATCTGAGTGTTTTGTTATGAAACCGAAT